TTCTAAAGCCCATTTCATCCTTTGTCCTTCTAATGCATCCCAATCCCCTCATCCCTCTATTATACACTAATAACCCCTCTGTCCCTCTATTGCACCCCAATCATCCTCTCTGTCCTTCTATTATTCCTTATTCTCCCCTCTGTCCTGCTATTGGCACCCAAATCCCACCATCCCTCTATTATACACTAATCCTTTTTATTGTAGTCCAATCCCCCCCTCCCCCTAATCATAACTCAGTTCCCCCCTCTGTCCCTCTATTGTACCCTAATCTGCCCCCTGTCCTCCTATTACACCCTAAACCCACTTGATGTAACCTTCCAACGTCAATAAAGGACGGGCTGGATGAGTGAATATTGGAGTGCCGGTGACTTCTTTATCCATCAACTGTACCCCAATCCCCCCTCTGTCACTTTTTAAACGCAACCCCCCTGCTCCGTCCCTCTATCGTAGCTCAAACTCCCCTATTGTACTCCACCCCCCCCCACTATCTGGCACCCCAAGACCTTCTATCTGGCAACTGAGCTGTGAAGTCTAATCATAAATAGTCTGGCAGGATAACCCAACATGTAAGGAAGGTCCGGAGTGATCGGTAAAACGATGGATCTGTTTCGGAATGTACGCAGATCCCGTATTTCATGACATCACCTCCCTGAGACAGGGAGGGGGATACAACGTATTTTTTTTGGCTGTCTGAGCTGTTTACGACTTGTTGTACCCTCGTATCTACAATGGTTGCTCGGTTGTTGCGTAACCCGACCGCTGAAAAATAGGAATTTGTCCTCCGTCACAGAAGACAAAACAGCTGCTAAACATTTGTAACACGTTCATTTTCCATAGACGGCTTCAGAAGGAAACTAAGAAGTTTAATCACACGATGGCCGAATTTAGGGGTGAGAACCCCTCCCCTCGCCCCACACCCAGCTCATCACCGTCCCTGCAACCATAACCCAAGAACATGTGGCCCCTGACTTTTCATTGGAAGACACCTAGATGTACTAATTCAAACCATCGGCTCCCAGAGGGCTCTGGAGTGGATTATGATAAGGGAATGGTATATACTGGTAGGTATGGGGACCTTCTATCACTCTGTCTCAGGTTATCTTTTTGTGACAGGTGCACCCGCCAACTCCCCCCCCATCTGAAATCCTGAACACGTACCGATTCTGTTGAAGCTTCATGTGGATCCAAGTCCCATTTATGACCAAAGACAGCTGCAGGTGGCTGGGAGGGTCCTAGGAGAAGGAGAGAGAAGAGGGATCAGACAAGAGACTGCTTAGCTGGTAAGGTGAACATGGTACCCATGCAGAGAGAATAGGGATCAGACAAGAGAGTGCTCAGGTAAAAAGGTGATCACAGTACAGATGGAGAGAGAAGAGGGATCAGACATGAGACTGCTCGGGTAGTGGGGTGATCATGGTACCCGTGCAGGGAGAAGAGGGATTAGACAAGAGACTGCTCGGGTAGTGGGGTGATCACGGTACCCGTGCAGGAAGAAGAGGGATCAGACAAGAGACTGCTCCGGTAGTGATGTGAACACAGTACAGATAGTGAGGAGTGACTGCTCCCTACCCATTTTCTTGCTCTGTGCAGCTTCAATTAGAGAGAGAGAGCCTGAAGGCAAACAGCTACCGCCTCTATTTTTTAGAAAACCCATAGTGCTCTGTGAATCCCTTGTCATAGGTGTACCCTGTTTAAGGTTTTTACAAAGATTTTTACATAAATTGTAAACAAAAGAAATCCCCATCCCCAACCCCGATACCTGGAAGTGAAAGGGTTTTATCCAGTACAGAATTAGCTGGCAGGAAGGGAAAAGGTAAAAGCAGACCTTGGAGGGGTATGTCCGTGCACACAAAACAGTAACAGGTCCCCTTATAGGATTTGATGGGATGGAATCACACAGAGTAGCAGAGGGGGCAAAATCCCACAATAAAATAAGGTGAAACTTCCAACAGCTGATAGGCGATCGACTATGAATCCTATCAGGGAGGGAATTATGGCAGGTCCAGGATCCTATCAGGGAGGGAATTATGGCAGGTCCAGGATCCTATCAGGGAGGGAATTATGGCAGGTCCAGGATCCTATCAAGGAGGGATTTATGGCGGGTCCAAGATCCTATCAGGGAGGGAATTATGACGGGTCCAGGATCCGATCAGGGAGGGATTTATGGCGGGTCCAGGATCCTATCAGGGAGGGAATTATGGCAGGTCCAGGATCCTATCAGGGAGGGAATTATGGCAGGTCCAGGATCCTATCAGGGAGGGATTTATGGCGGGTCCAGGATCCTATCAGGGAGGGATTTATGGCGGGTCCAGGATCCTATCAGGGAGGGATTTATGGCGGGTCCAGGATCCTATTAGGGAGGGATTTAAGGCGGGTCCAGGATCCGATCAGGGAGGGATTTATGGCGGGTCCAGGATCCTATCAGGGAGGGATT